ACAGAATATACAAAAAAGCTAAGAAGCTTTTACGTACAAATTATACAATAAAATTAATAAGCGTTATTATTAATAATAATCTATAAAAATTTCTCTTTCATACAAATAAAAATATTCACTATACTAAAAAAAAATAAAATATATATAAATATATACTCATAAGGAGGAGAACTACTCTACGACAACTATGTATAAGTACAAAGAATACGACTTCCCCCTTTCTAACTCAAATGCCTTATACCATGCTGATAAATGATAATAATGATAATAAATATTCGTTTTGTACGTAACTTAATATTTCTGCTAGATTAAATAACCTTGATGTGTATTTGTTTTTCCCCCACTAGGAGGCCTTTTTTTGACGAAATTATAGAATTGAAAACAACTAAAGGCAACCGCACTATTTGTTTTTATACTATATCAACTACATATATATGTATTTACATATACATATGTATGTGTGTACACTTTATGCGATAAGACAAACAACATGCGAGCCAACTAAATTTCGCTATAGAACATTCTTTCTCATCTATCTATATACCTACATTTATATATGTATATACATATATTTATAGTTGTATTTTGTTGTTTTCAAACTCTTGAGAAATAAACAAACTAAAACATTTGTACGAGTGCAAATTAATTAAGCGAAACAAAAACAAAACGAAAGTTGAATGAATAAGTGTGACTGCTGTACAGGTAATCTATATGTATATTATAGGGAGAGAGTATTACGTATTACATATACCCTATGCCATGCTAGACGACGTCAATCGCTTTTCAAACTGTCGATAATTAAAATGTAAAACCTTTTTAAACACAATTTAATCAGATTTAAATTTAATGGGAAAATGTACGTAACTCGTAGCTCGTCACATGATAATTTTTAGTTTTCTAATATAATATTTTACTATATTAGTTGTTTATGACTCAGAGCACTGAATATATTAAGTTTTTACGTATGTCAATGAAAAATGTAAATGATTTCTGAATTGTTTGAAATATTTATAGATTTTATGAATGGGAAAGACAGCAAGAGAATCTTTGAAAAATATAATTATAATAAAACAAAATATTAAAATTATTATAAAACATACATATGCAAATATTACTTATTAGAAATTTGTATAATTTGCCATACGATTGGAACCTATCTACCTCATAAAACTAGTTTCCACATTTAAGCAAGTCTCAAGCCTTCATTCTTTGGTTGTTTTTATGCGAGGTTTGCAAAGTTCACGATTAAAAATTAAAAATTCGGCTTTCAAATGGTTGAAAATCACAATATAATGCATATTTGTCAATTTCGCTATTTTTGTGTGCATTGCTTGTGGTTTTTTAATAAAGTTAATCTTGACTTAAATTGAAACTAGAATCGATTGCATTTTTATCTTAAAAGTAAATAACTTTCCCAATATAAATACTGTTTGTTTACACGAGTATAGGGTATTAAGTAGCTGCAAAATTAGTCATTGCTCAATGCATGTGCATAATAACATAATATAGTTTTTGTTGTGTTGTTGTTGTTTTCAGTGTACTTAAGCGAAACCCACGCGCAGTTCAAGTTGTTTACGTTTTGAGTTGTTGATGCCAGCTAAAGATACAAATACATAGACATGGATACAGATACATACGCAGATACAGAAACAGCTACAGATATACATTTCAAAGCAGAGAAACAGATTCTTCTGTGCCCACATTTATGCGAGTCGGGCCCACAAATTACAGCCAATCAGAGCCGCGTAAACATGCAACAACAAATATATGAATATACATACATATATATTATATGTATATATGTATACTTTATTTACTTGTAGATATGCAAACACATTTGTGCTCTTATAGAACCTGCTGCGTTACGTATGCGGAAATGTTGTGTTCATTTGTTGTTGTCGTTGTTGCTGTTGTTGTTATTGTTATTGTTGTTATCTCTTATTGTTGTTTTCGCGCCAATTGCACCGCCAATTAGATATTAGACGCCTAACCCAAATAAGATTTGCTACACGTGTCAGCCGTCGCCTATCTCATTTGAATTGTTATTTAGAACTATCATATAGAGTTAACCAACTCGACAAAAATGTAAGACAACTTGCCAACTTGCTTTTGATTGACTGATTGAGTAATATTGATTGATCGATGAATGATCAACTATATATGCAATCCAGATTGGAATAGTTAAAATATGTTTATGTATATATATATTAATGTATTTTCAATTAATTTAGTAAATACAATTTTGTAACAGGCAGTAATTTCGCTTATGTTAATTTTAAGCCCATAACGAATCGTTAAAAAAAAATAAATAAAAAAAAAACAGCTGACATTTAAAGTTCTTTCAACCGAAATTATTTGTTTATTCACACCAATTGTCAGTTTCGTTCCAACTGTAACCCTAATGCGTAGTATCTTTACTATGTTGTTGATGTTGTTGTTGTTGTTATTGTTGTTAGTTTATTTGTCAGTGTTAGTGTTAAAGGTACGAATAGCGCTCTACACGCGCTCAATGCTTAACAAATTCGACCTTGATATGGGTGTTTTTTCATTCGCCGGGCTATCTGCTATGCTCAGCTAGAAATAGCCGGTTGAGAAAACATATACCTATACAAGCTATTGTATATACATATAGAAGAGTTTGCCCCTCTATACCGATACAAGTATATGCCGTATGAATATGTAATACATATGTATGTGTATTCATGTCTATATGTATTCAACGCATGCTCGATTAAAGGGGCTCGTCTCGAGTTGCCTCTCAAGTTGCTTTCAAGTTTGCTCTACACAAATTTTTCAATTGACGCTTTAAATCGTTTTAAATATATTAAAAGCTATATATATTTAACTATATTATGGTGTACTTTTGACAGCTCGCCAATTTGCGAATAAATTATAAAACTGAGGAGTTTATCAAACAATATTTGTATTAAAGTTCATATAAAAACCGTTTTAATTATTTATTTTTTTTGTGTCTTTAAAAAAAAAACCGGATGTTTCCAAATGCAAATTTTGCTAAGTTATGCTCGCTATAAAACTACAATATCAAAACATGATCAAGGTAAAGCAAACTTGAAAACGAATGCAAAATCGCAAACAAAATCAAAGAACAACACAAGAAAATAACATACTATAGAGCTCTACATATAGACAAACTGAACCATTTAGATATACATATGTATAAAATATTACACATTAAAAAATATCTAGCCAAGACATTGTCAACAAGCTATAAAATGAAATTCACTAATATATATAGAGAAACGTATGTACTGAACCTATATTTGATATTGAATAGTCGTCTAGACTAATAAAAAAGAGCTATACTATGTAATACTTACGCCTTGAACGATTTAAATTCGATGACTAAATTTGATTGCTCTAACTATATTTCGTCTTTGTTTTTTGTAAACATATGTTCAGTATCCCTTATGAATAATTAGCTAAAATCCGAAGTGCCTCAGTTTTTTTGCTAAAATTTCTGTGAAGATTCTTGCTATAGTAGTGGGGAATTTTAGAAAGTAATTGCTTTACCTGTACACTCTATCAAATTTCTAATATTGAATCTCTATGAGTATTTCATTTCAGTTAACTATTATAAAAAACTTCATATTTCAATGTCATGYCATGTCTTGCATATGTCTATCTTGTCTGAAATTCTCTCATATATCTTGATGAGTAAACCATACCATAAGCCCTGTCATATATAATTCATATATAACTTTGCACTTTGTTTAATCTTTCATGTGTTGTTAGTTTTTGATGTTCGATTTCGATTTTAAAATTTGTTTAGCTCTAGTTTTTCCAAATTTTTGTGTGCTATTGCCATATACGTTTAGCAAGTGTCTTACAGGAATATCGAAGCGCAGCGAGGGTACAAAGTAATGTAAGAATCACACAAATCAAAGCAAAAGCCCAACTCGGAAGATAACAAAACACATTTTCCTAAAATATACCATTTTAGTTACAGCTGTTGAGCGCAGCTGGTCACATCGACTTCAGCGACTTCAATTTGCATCTCTACTCAACGTATTGAGGGTGGAATGAGGCGAATTGAAGTTAATTCGCCCAGCTATGCCGCTATGTGGCTAAGCATACCTTATCTTCACAACAACTCTCACTCTGTCTCTCTCCCTCTCTCTCGCTCTCTCCCGCTCTCTGTTTTTGCTGTCACTGCTCTCTTCGAGTGCACTTATCACGCGCTTGTCACATTAAAATCTTATCAAATAAAAAAAAGTCAGCAGTAACAAAAGTTTTTGCCAGTTTTACAGAAGAGTAAAAATTTCATTTATATTTCAATTTCATCGGGTTTATTTCTGCTGCGCGACGTGCAATCTTTTCGAATTTTAAAATATCAGCTAAATTTCCACTGTTTAATTCACAACTTAGTCTGGGTAAGAGGAACCAGTTCAATTTAACAAGCAGCCGAACGATCTCTTGTTGCTCAACGTGTTTAACCTCACTTGCACTTGATATTTGTTAAAAATAATTCAATATTAATGTTGGATTTAGAACTTTGCACACTCAAAAAGGAATTGCATACATATGTGTATGCATTAATCAATCGGAATAATCCATTGTTATAGCATAGCTCCATTGAAATAACTTTAGTCTGATCCGTAGAGCTTCTGTTCGAACTGTAGACATTTTGAAACGTTGGTTGACTCATTCTCTTTTGACTCTATCCCGCGACTATAAATTGCTGTGCTTAGATTAGATAAGATTCTATAAGTGTTTCGGTTTACGGGTGTTATACATATGTACATACAAACACACACACACACACACACAAATATCCGTATATACAAATACACACATCTCTCACTTATATGGACACGGAACTAATAATAAAGCTAACCTTTATACTGTCTATTATATCGAACTATTCAAAAAACACTGCCCCATATTTCTTCTACGTACACAGATAAATATACACACATATATTGATAGATATATACATATATAAAGCGAGCGATATTCTATCATAATATATATATATAGARGAAAGAGGATTTTTCTATTACAAATATGCCGCTCTTTGCCCGTAAATCGTCGAAAAGCTCCGATCACAGTGATGTCAGTCAGGATAGCAAAGGACGTAGCAAATCCTACGATTCCCATACACAGAATAACAACAACAATCATCAGAATAATAACAATGATGTGGACAAGAAGCCGCCGTTGATCTTCCATTGCCAATTAGCACATGGAAGTCCGACGGGGTTGATCACTGGCTTCGCAAGCGTCCGAGAGCTGTACAAAAAGATAGCCGAATGCTTTGATATATCCGAAGATGAAATTTTATTCTGTACTCTCAATTCGCATAAGGTGGACATGACACGTCTGCTGGGCGGACAGATTGGTCTAGATGATTTTATATTTGCCCATCGCAAGGGCCGGGCCAAAGAGATTGAGATAGTCAAGACACAGGATGCTTTGGGTCTGACCATCACAGACAATGGGGCTGGCTATGCGTTCATTAAGCGCATCAAGGAGGATTCGATTATCGATCGCATCGAGCACATCTCGGTGGGAGATCATATCGAGAAGCTGAACGGAGTGAATATGGTGGGCAAACGGCATTATGAGGTGGCACGCATGCTGAAGGACATTGCGACGGGTGAGACGTTCACGTTGCGTCTGGTCGAGCCGGTGCGCAGCGGTTTCCAGGGTATCGGACCGCGTAGCCAATCGCGTGCATCTGGTTCGGCACCTGGACTCAATGGCGGTCGCAATTATGGTTCCGGCAAGGAAACATTACGCTTCAAGGCCAATGGCAATGCACAGATCGAGCCGAAATTCGACGAGGCCACCAAAGCGGGCGTCGAAGCCATCAATGGATTGCTGGAATCCTTTATGGGCATCAATGATACGGAGCTGGCGTCACAGATCTGGGAGCTGGGTGACAACAAATCGAATTCGATGGACTTTGCGGAAGCTGTCGATAATTCCGATTTAGAATCTTTTGGTTTTACCGATGATTTCATTATCGAACTCTGGGGTGCTATAACGGATGCGCGTCGTAAAGGCAAATAGAAACTAAGCAGATCCCAAGCGATCATCAGTAATTACAACAATAACGACAACAACAACAACATTTGCATTTTTGTTTACTAGTAATAAATCTAATGCAAAATCTAAAAAGAAAATCTATTAGCAAACTAGAAAGAAAATTCATTTTTCATCAGCTATTTTATTTCTCCTAATTGTTAGATCTTAGCATAAACATATTTATATAAACATATATATACGCATATATATATTTATATATTATATACAATTGTATTTATTTGTATGCCCTGCATTTGCCAATTATC